GTTTGCTCCAAGTCACCTTCAATATTTATGAGGGCATTTTGAATCAAGCTGTATCCATCTACAAGGGCTTCAGTAGCATCAGCTCTTGCTGACCAACGAGTGTCTGAAAGAGAGGTCACAGTGCTCTTTCCTTTCCTACCAAAGACTTCATTAGATTTGGCCATCTGTGTGTTAATGCAGATAAAAGGGCAAATAAAAAAAAGTCAAAATGTCCCCAGAAAATTAGTAGAGGGGAAATCTTCCAATAGGGACACTAGTTCTGGTGATCCCCAAAGAATTCCCTTAACCACTTGCCCTCCAGAGGATTTACCCCCCTTCCTGAGCAGGCCATTTTTTTATGTTACGGAGCTGCGTTACTTTAACATGATTTCCAATGGGACAGGTTCACATCTGAGCGTTTTCACTCAGTACATTTTTGGGAAAGGATCAGGGACTTTTTTTTGAGTGCAAAAAGTTGTGTTTTTGGTTCTATAGACTTCAACTGAAATGCTGCAGAAAAGCATGTAGTGTGTTTTTTGCGGCATTTTTTACGTGTTTTGCATTTTAAATCTGCCTGGCAACAAGAAAATTTTAAAAACCACAAAACGCATAGGTGTGAACCTAGCCTTAGGACTGTCCTCTGCAGTCTTCAAAGCGAATATCTTCTTTTTCTAGAAATTCTAGCAGAGATGCAGCCATTACTTCAGCCTTGTGAGAGCCAGTCTGCAGGAAAGTTACAAATCCTTCCACCGCCATCCCAGAAATGTCATATCACACAATGACTGCTTCTCCATATCCTGACACCCGCACACACTTCGTTATTTTTTTAACAAAACTCATTTTATAATTTTTTTTTTTTATAAAAGAAGTCTGGCGCTAGGGGGCCATCATTGGCAGGGGGGGGGCCCGGGGCACTTGGCCCTTTTGCTCCCTTATATCATTCTCCATTTCACCACATCACCCTCCTAGGACTGGGTTCTCAATACTATGTACGGCACTGGACACTCTGCAGTGGATTTACTAAAGACAAATAGATCGTGCACTTTGCAAGTGCAGTTGCTCCAGAGCTTTGAAAATAATACCCATTCCCATGCAAGAAAAATAAAAGATACATTTTTGCTTGCACAGCAGCAAGCTCTGGAGCAAATTCCCTTGCCAGTTGCACAGTCTATTTGCATTTAAGAAATCCACCCCTTTGGATTTATGGGAAGACTACAAGTCCCATCTGTCCACACAGCAGGAGGGACTGACAGGTTGGCACTAGTGGAATAATGTCCCCTCAGTCCATGATATACTTCCTCCAGCCCCCTAACAGAAGGTACGCCCCTCCATCCAGACCTGGGTCTGGGGGTAAACTGGTGATCCTGGGTACTCCCCCCACAACACACTGTTCGGGGGTGCAATGCTCTGCAGGGTGCAATGCAAACGTTTAATAAATGCATATTTTTAATTTTTTTAACCGTTCGATGTCGGCATCGCGTACATGTACATCAGCAAAGTGGCCTCCCTGTGTTGAGTCAGGTACCTTGTATGTGATCCGCATGCCCACCAGTGCTGTGATTCGTTACAGCACATGATGATCACTGGCCCCCTGGCCGATGATTGGCTGCCAGGACCCGCTGATCAGCTCAGTTTTGCACCAAACACTCTATGATTGTAAACAATACACTGACAGGGGAACTTTCTGGGGGTTTTCCATTCTCTGCTAAGCAGGGAATAAAAACAAGATCCTCAGTAAAAGCTCCGCATATTGCAAAGCTGGCCATACATGTATAGATTTTCATTTCAAGAATATTCTTTGATTTTCTAATCATTAGTGGGGTCAAATCGATGTTTATTTTCGACAGCAGTGATGGGAAAATTCGAAAGGGAAGGGGGGAAAACTTTTCTCCAGCAAACAAATTTTCAGCCAGTGCATGTGGTGAGACTGTTACTCCCTCCTCATTGGCCTACCTCATCGCAGGCTATCCCCACTCTAGTCCATCATGAATGCTGCTGCCAGACTCATCCACCTCACGAACCGTTCTGTATCTGCCACCCCTCTCTGCCAATCCCTCCACTGGATCCCAGTTGCCCAACGGATAAAATTCAAAACACTAACACTGACATACAAAGCCGTCCACAACACTGCCCCACATAACGAATCTTATCTCTAAATATCTCCTAAACCGAACACTCCGCTCCTCGCAAGACCTCTTACTCTCTAGCTCCCTTATCTCCTCCTCCCATTCTCGTCTCCAAGACTTCTCCAGGGCGTCACCCATCCTCTGGAACTCCCTACCCCAGTGTATCAGACTCTCACCTACTCTACTTGCCTTTAGGTGATCACTGAAAACCTATCTCTTCAGGGAAGCCTACCCCGCCCTCTGCTAATTCTGGAATCCTCTACTCTTCCAACCACTCCATCCCCCACAGTGACTACCTATCAGGGGCGGACTGACAACTCATGGGGCCCCCGGGCAATAGGGGATCATGGGGCCCCTGTGTCCTTGCCCAAACTCAAAAAAGCCTATGAAAAAGGTACCAGGGGCATCTCATGGGGCCCCCTACTGACCCCGGGCCCTCAGGCAGTGCCCGAGTTTCCAAATGGTCAGTCCACCCCTGCTACCTACTGTACCATTCACCCCGCCCTCCTAGATTGTAAGTTCTGAGGAGCAGGGCCCTCAATTCCCTCTTGTATTGAACTGTATTGCTGCTGTATTTTCTCCCACTCAGGGATGGACTGACCATTCGAGCACTGCCCGAGGGACCGGGGTAAGTAGGGGGCCCCATGAAATGCCCCTGGTACCTTTTTTATAGGCTTTTTTGAGTGTGGGCAAGGACACATGGACCCCATGATCCCCTATTGCCAGGGGGCCCCATGAGTTGTCAGTCCACTCCTGCTCCCACTATAATGTAAAGCGCTAAGCACACCGTTGGCGCTATATAAATCCTGTATAATAATAATAATCGTTCAGAAATTACATTCATTTTAAAGTCGAATGTTAAAAGCAAAAAGGCAATTTTAAAACGACATCCGTCCATTCATCAAATGTTCATCGAATTTTCCTACGACTTTTTTTCGTATGAAAATTATTGTCCAAAAATCTACACGTGTATGGCCAGCCTTAGGCACACAGTTAACCCCTTGATCGCCCCAGATATTAACCCCTTCTCAGCCAGTGTCTGTACAGTTACACTGTATATTATTAGCACTGATCCCTGTATTAGAGTCCCTGGTGATGTCAGTGGCATTTAGTCAGTTCCCACCCAGTGTCAGTTAATGTACCTGCTGCACTATCACTGTCCCACTGTAAGTCACTGATCACTGCCATTACTTGTATTAAAAAAAAAAAAGTGTGTGTGTGCGCATGCTGGGGGGCTGTTTGTTGGTTCTTCACTGTAAGCGCACTGCTCTGGATGGCTGTGCTGTGCACTGCCATCCAGAGCAGTGTGCCTGAGCCAACAGGGAGGAGGACTGTTAGTAAACAAAGCAGCCCTCCTCCCGACTTTTCCGAAAACCAATTATTTTACACTTACTGGGATTTTTTTTTTTTATTTTAACCGAAGACATGCAGCAGAATACAATTTGACCGATATTTATAATGAAATTAGTTTTTTTTACCATCTTTTATTGGATGTCGCATAGCAGACAGTGAAAAAAAAATGTTTACATTTTCGGTCTTTTTTTCATTTACATAATCAAAAATCCCTGTGGTGATCGAATACCATCAAAAGAAAGCTGTTTGTGAGAATAATATAAATCCCCCTCCACACTCCAATGTCAGTGAGTGCCAGATTGCCTGTTGCACTATCGCACCATTGTAAGTTGCTGATCATTGCGGTAATCTAAAAAATATATAAATACACATTCCAGTATCTATACATTATAGTTTTAGGCGATATGACTTTCACACAAACCAGTCAATATGAACTTATTGGGATTTTTTTTTTCCTACCAAAGACATGCAGCAGAATACATTTTGGCAGAAATTTATGAAGAAATTTGATTTCTGAATTTTTTATTGGATATGTTTTATAGCAAAAAGTATACAATAGTTTTTTTTCCCCGTTTATATCACAGAGAACATAAAACACCCCCGAGGTGATCATATACCACCACTAGAAAGCTGTATTTGTGACACAATGATCTACATGTCATGTGGGTGCAGCGTTGCATTGATGCGCAACTGCTAGCTAAAATAGCGCAGTGCTAAATAGCAAAATATGTCCTGGTCATGAGGGGAATAAACCTTCCAGGGGGCAAGTGGTTAATCAGGGAGCATTTACTACAATTTTTTTTTATATAAAGAGTGCGGAATATGTCTTCAAAGGAAACGTCGACTTAGTGCTCCTGAAAATACTATCTGCCTGGCTGATCACTCTCCTAGTCAGACCCAGCAAATTGGTTGTGCCTTCACTTGCTGCATGCTTGATCGGCCAGTAAGTCCGAAAGCATGGCAGCCGAGGGATCATCATGACAGCCAGACATTTGGTATTTTTAGAAGTAGGTCACCAGTGGCATCCAAGGTATTTCTGCCAACAAGGGTGTCACAGGGAGCTCTCCCGGGCCCGATCTATAAATATGGCTCCTTGTGATGTGAGGACAGCTGGGGGATGTTATGGGAGAGGACTGCAGACTGAACACAGCATGGTGACCGCGCACGACCCCCTCCCCCTCCCTCCCAGCAGGGCGCCCAAGCTCTGTAAATAACCGCGGTATGCCATCACCATGGCAACCGTAAGACGCCGCCGCCGGATTGGCCGGGTCCGCCCCCTTCCGCGCCCCGTGACCCGCAGCCGTCCAACCAGCCGCCTTCAGCAGCGGCGCCGTGACTTCATCACCGAGCGCCCGTCTCCTAGGAGATCAGTATTGGAGCAGGATGGCGGCCAGGGTGGAGGAGCTGAACGTGACCCCGGAGGAGCTGGAGCGCTTTAAGTCCGCCTTCCAGGACGCGCGGTTCCGGGAGCTGTTCGCGCAGTATGCCCAGGAGATAAGCGACCCGGAGAACCGGCGGCGCTATGAGCGGGAGATCAGCGAGATGGAGCGGGAGCGCGGCGTGGAGGTGCAGTTCCTTCACCCGGAGCCGGGCCACGTGCTGCGTACCAGCCAAAACGGACAGCGGAGCTGCTACATCAACATCTGCAGCAACGGGCTGGTGCGGCGGCCTCACTGCGCTCCGGCGACGGACAAGGAGGGGCGTGCTGGGCAGCACTGGAGCCTGCCGTGTTCCCTCTGTCCCGCCCGGGAGGAGCTGAGCCCGGAGGAAGGGCGGGATCTCGTCTATGATGTCCTCTTCAACCCGGAGACCCTGCGCCTGGCCTCCGGCAACCAAAAGTTCAAGACCATGGTGGACCTGACTGCCCTGGACATGGTGACCCGCGGCTTCTGTGTGGTCCTGGATACCGCCAACGTGACCACCCTGAAGGAGAATTACCGGGGGATCCCACGGACCTGCGTCATCCGCAGACTCCGCCCCGGAGCTAAGCCCAAACCGCAGGATCCCGCAGACCCGGTGAGCTTCCCGTACCCCTACGGTGTGCCTGGAGGACAGAAGAAGGTCGGTCGGGGTAAACCCAAGGTCCAGCCACCCCCCGCCATCCGCAAGGCCAACCAAGAGCCCACCGTCCCCCGCTACACCATCCGCCACCGCTCCTACGTGGATATCCAGGACTACCGGGACGCCAGGGACTCGGCACCCAGCCCTGTACCCAAGGAGCTGGTCATCACCGTGGAGATGCCGCTGCTGACCTCCGCCACCGAGGTTGACCTGAACATCGAAGGAAAGGCCCTGAGCCTGGAGTCCAAGAAGCCGGCCTACAAACTTCAACTAAAGCTGCCCTATCTGGTGGAGGAGAAGAGGGGCACGGCCCAGTTCAACAAGATCAAGAAGCAGCTGGTAATCACTGTGCCCGTCGTCCAGCAGGACACCCTAAAACTAATGCAGGAGCAGCTGGCCAACGGCCCAGGACCGGAATCTAAATCAACCCCATCCCCCGACTCTGCTACCCAGGAGGCCAGCAATACGCAAGAGTCCGGCAAGGCGGCGGAAAGTCCTTCAGAGGCGGAACCTGAGAAGGTCCAGGAGCCAGTGGCGGCAGGACACGTCATCAATGCCCTGCTGGAGGTTCCCCCGGAGTGCCCCATCTTCACCTGCTCCCAGAGTGCCACCACGCTGACTTTAGTGATCCACGTCAAGGACATCGATGAGCACAGCATCACCTCGGAGGTCGGCTGCTATCAGTGCGAGATCCGCTTCTGTGTCCGATCCACCAACACCCCCTACGTTCTCTTTGTACAGTTCCTGCCGCAGTATAACCTGAACACGAACGATATCGCGGTGAGCGTGTCCGAGGACAATGTCGTCATAGAGCTGACCAAATCCTCCGAGTGCTTCGGCCTGTGGAAGAATCTCTACTTCGGGGTGAATAGCAATTCTCTGCAGGTAAGCTGCTTTGTGGCCTTCTCTGCAATGGAGATCTGAAGCCACAATGGGTTCTGTTCAACAGTAGATGGAAAATACTTAATGTCTGCAGTGGATGAACACGTTTCCTATGTGTCTGTTCACACTAGCAGCTGCACTAGATGCATGGTGTGCAGGAGGATGTCTGTGGTGCAGATCACTGCTCACTCCACTGTTTACACTGAGGTTTTTATTTCCTTTTTTTTTTTTTTTTTTTTTTTTTTTTTCCCCCAAAAACAAACATTTATTATATTGCAGTTTAACAATTCTTTAGATGTGTGTGTGTGTGTGTGTGTGTGTATATATGTATGTGTATGTATATGTATGTGTGTGTATATATATATATATATATATATATATATATATAATTTATTAACAGACTATGTAACTATAAACTAAAACCACAGCGCAAAAATTAAATTAATAAAGCAAAAATATAAACTATAAAATAATAAAAAAAAAAATTGTCCAAAGTCCCAAATCAATAGTGAAAGATAAAATGTAAAGTGCTCCAATCAACAAAAACCGTTCTAACGGAACTCCGCGGATGGTGTGGGCGCGGTGGCGTTCTTTTAGAACGGTTTTCGTTGCTTGGAGCACTTTACATTTTTATTTTTCACTATTGATTTGGGGCTTTGGACAATTATTTTATATTCAGATATTTTTTTAAATTATTTTATATTTTCACAAATGTTTTGTTTTTGCTTGGTTGATTTATTTTTTGTGGTGTAGTTTTAGTTTTATGTTTATTTTGATGTTTATTCATTGATGAACAGCAGCACTAATTACATTTGTAGTAGGGTTCAGGCTTTTATTTCACACTATGTAACTATGTTTGAATTTTTTGCCCTCCTCTGGATTAACTGTGGGTATAGGATTATAACTTTTTTTTTTTTTTTTTTTCCAGCCAGACTAACTATGTAACAAACTGTCCTGCAGATGTAGCAGTTGACGATTGATACAAACCATCTACCACTAACGGGTGCTTAAAATGACCTCCTTTTATTTATGTAAAACTGTAAGGCTAGATTTACACCTATGCAGGTTGCATTTGAGCCGTTTCTACATTGCGTTTTTGATGCGTTTTGCAGGGTTTTTTTTTTGTTTTGTTTTGTTGCTAGGTAGATTTTAAAATGCAAATGCAGCAAAAAATGCAATGCATGGTTTTTCTGCACCATTTCCATGAAATCCATAGAACCAAAACCGCAACGTGTTGAAAAAAGTCCCTGACCCTTTCCAAAAAATGCGGAGATGTGAACCTGTCCCATAGTAAATCATGTTAAATGGACTGTAGTGCATTTCTGCTAAATGCTTAGGTTTGAACCTAGGGGTAACTGCTTATAAATTGTTAGCTGGAGTTCAGCTTTTAAAGTGGTTGTAAGAGCTCAAGGTTTACACATTCTGTGCATGAAGGTTACCCTTCTGTGTGCAGCAGCCCCCCCTAATACTTAAGCCCCATCGCAGATCAGTGATGTGTACGAGAGCCTCAGCTCTCCAAGGACTCTCCCTCCTCTTTGGCTCCTGCTGCTGTCAATCACAGCTAGTGAGCCAATGAGGAGAGAAGGGCAGTGCTGAGCTGTGGTTCTGTATGTGAATGGACATGCAGAGCAGTCTCTCAGAAGCGAGCTTTCTTGGGTGCCCTTATAGCAAGCTGTTTGCTCTGGGGGCACTAGGCAGGAGGGAGGAGGTTTGAGGTTGGTTTGTGCAGGTAAGTAGAACGTGTGTGTGTGTTTTTTATTATTTCATTTGTGTATCTAATGCTTGGTACATGGGCTGAATATTGGCTGGTTGAGCAGAACCAGCCAACATTTGGTCAGTGTGTACAGCTGTCTATCTGAAAAGAAGTTGGTCTAACATCGTGCTGAAAAACCAGCATCCAATCAGTGCTTTCAGCCAATGGCTGGGAGCACTGGGCAGTGTGCTCTGGCGGGGTGGAGGGAGTCCTCCTGTCAGAACACAAAGGCACATTAGGGGAGATCACCACACTAACATCACTTGTGTTAGTACAGCATTCTATCAGGTGCTTGTTTTGTGTTTTTCTGGGGGGTTATTCAGCCCACTGGGTTAATTGGGGGGGGGGACGGGACTGTACCAGGCTTATCTGCTAGTCCATCTGACACTACCCACCCCCATATTAATGCTGCTGTCCAGAGGTGGCGCTTTCTTTTGGTAGTATTTAATTGGCTGCGTTTTATTTTTTTGCGCTATAAACAAAGACCAACAATTTTGAAAAAAAAAATATATTTTTGACTTTTTGCTATTTAGAAATGTCCAGTGAAAAAAAAAATGTTAATCAAATTTAGGCCAAAATGTATTTGCCAAAAAAAATCCCAATACGTGTAAATTAATTGGTTTACTTGAAAGTTATAGCGTTTACAAATGGCGGTATATGTACTGGAATTTTTTTTTTTTTTTTTTTTTTTCTACTAGTAGCAGAGGCAATCAGCGACTTATAGTGGGACTGTGGTGGGCATTCTGAAACTGGGGGGAACTGACTTGGTGTCATTGTCATTCCCCAATGACACCAATACAGTGATCAGTGCTAATAAAAAGCAATGGCACTGGGCAGGAAGAGGTTAGCTATGTGTGGTTTACTGTAAGCACGCTGCTTTGTATGGCTCTGCTATGCAGAGCCATACAAAGCAGTGTGCAGGAGCTGACTGGAGAGATCTGTATTGTTTACATACAGGTCTCTCCCCTGTCAGTAATACTCGGAGATCGCTGGGTGCTGGCACGGAATCACCAGCCAAGACCTGGTGATTGACAGCCGAGGCCACAAATGGCGGCGTGCACGTGCCACCTACCCAGAACTGCAAGTGTGTGTGTGTGTGTGTGTGTGTGTGTGTGTGTTCTGCTATAGGGTGGCACAGAAGCGGTTAAAGTAGTAAAGCCAAAGCTTTTTTGGCTGTGCTTCTGTGGCTCACAGAGTAGTTTGTTCTGCACTCCTGTGACTGTTTTCAGCTGACAGCGGGCTGAAGTCACTCATCCAGTCCTGGTTGGGGAAAGATCCCAACTTTAAAGTTGGGATCCACCCCAGAGTATATAGCGGCCTCCACTGTCCAGCGACAGTCACCGCTCTCTGCTCACAGTGGCAGTGAGTTCTCACTCTTGGACCCGGCGAGGGACAGATGCTGCATCCACCTAGGTAAGTATGATTTGGGGGGAAAAATTAAATCCCATACATCTTTTACAGATTAGTAAGCTGCAATATATTGCATTTTGGGTTCAATACTACTTTAAGTTCTACTGGCTGCAGTGTGGTGCAAGAAAGTGGTTTGTGTGGTGCTGTGCTGGATAACAAGTACTGGGCATACACCATGAACTGGCCTTGTAGAAGATGAGGTCTTTGTCCTTGTCTTGCAGTGGGATTGCTCTGGAATAGCTGCCCAGGAACGTCCCACTGTACCTGGTGTGAATGGGCCCTTCTACAAAACGTGAGCAAGGTCTTAGTTTTTCTTTGTAAGGCAGACACAGCCGGAGTATAAAAACCTGTCCTCTACATAATGCTGGCAGGGGACAGGCTTTATGTGACGGACCTGGAATGTAATTTGCTACTTTAAAATGAGAGTTTAGCTGTGACCTCCTTCAGCCAAAATCCTCCTCCTCTGCTGAAGATTGGGAAAGTGGGCTGGCTTTGTGGTGGAGGGCTCATTACCAAGCCTGCTGGTGGTTTCCACTGAATGGGGGAGGTTTGTGTCCAGTGTTAATAAATGGAGGTGAGGAACGTGTGTATGTGGGCCAGGCGGACAGAGAAGTGACCAGCTATTAGTGCTACTGTATTAGCAGTGGAGTGGGGGATGGTGCCATATCCTGCTGAACAGAACAGCAGGGGCAACCTCATGTATAGGATTACTGAATCGGTAAAGGGAAGACTAGTACTCAATGCTGCCGAATGGAGAAAGAGGAGACCATACCTAGAAATAGGGAAAGGGGCAGACTAGAACCCAATGATTCCTAATTGGAAAAGGGAGACTAGTATCTGGTGCTGCTGAATAAGGACAGGGGGAGACTAATACACAACAATGCAAAGTGAAGAAATGGGGGGGGGGGGGGGGGTTCGGTGCGGTTTTTGGGGTGGAACATGTAACACGGTGCCAATCCTGCAGCCACTGCATCTAGTGACAGTTAGTAGGGGAATCTCCCTCTGGCTAGCTGTCACTAATTTTTTTTTTTTTTTTTTTTGTTTTTTTGTTTTTTTGTTAAAAACGCAGCTGTGTGGGGCTTCAGCCACATCAGTTCTGTGAACTGGAAACTACAAGTCCCGACAGCCTTTGTGGCCATCAGCTTGTAGTTCTCAATGAACTACCATGGCACTGTTGAGCGCTGTTATTTCATTGTCTCTTCGGGCTACCTTACACCACATGCAGTCGAGTGACTTTTTTTTTTTTTTTTCCCTGCATCAAAAACGCAGTAGGTTTTATGGTTTCCAATGGCAGTTTACACCAGTGCGGTCAGTTCCAGGGCATTTCAGTTTCAGTAAAAAACTTATAATTGCTTCATTTTTCCTGGACTGTACTGATGCGCTGTAAAATGCACCAGACCCCCAGTACAGTGGGGGGACAAAAAAGGGTGGGGTGATGGGGGAGCATCTGGAAATGCATATGCAGGAACAAGTGTGTGTGTGTGTGTGTGTGTGTGTGTGTGTTCGGTATTTGCCTGCCTGTACGAGGTGCAAGCATACAGATACACTGACAGTCTGCTGGAGTCCTGCATTGCACCCGCAATCTGCACAACACAACTCCTGTAAAAGCAGCTATATTTATTTTGTGAGTGTGCATGGAGCTTAAAGGAGCGAGCAACCGGAAGTACAGGACACTTACAGTGTGCCCTCTTCTTTATTGTATTTTAGCCATTTTCCATGCTGCACAGTTATGTCATACAAGTAGTCGCTGATTAAAGTGCATGTAGACCTGATCAATGAACTTGTCCAATCTGCTCTATTTTAGTCTGTTTGGATATACTTCTATACCATTAATAAGTGCAAATGAATATATACAGTGAGCTTGCCAGAAAACTTGAACACCAATAACCGCCATGTTCCTGTCTTTTTTGTTTTTTTAGTGGAACTTTACCCATAATAACTTGATTTAAAAAAAATAATGAAATGTCCTTTTAGCAAGGAATATACATTCCACATGAATAATTATGCTCCCAAATTAGTGTGTGCTGTAAATTGCCTGTTTCTTCTTGCTGGATGGTGCTGTTATGCTGAAGGCCAGAGCTCCTGAGCAGCAGTAAATCTTTAGAATTGACAGCAACTGAGCATGTGCAGAGCAGGGTGAGAGTGTATTACTGGATTTTAAACAGTATAGGCACTTATTTTTAATGTTTTACATGAACCTGCAGAAGGGGTCAGTCTGAAGGGATCGAGCAGGACTTCATTTTCTGACTAGAGTTCCACTTTAATGTACCCAAGCTTAAAGAATTTTAAAGTGGAAAAAATCCTTTAATATCCACATCCGTGAAGCTGCCTTTTTTACACTACACAGCAGCATTGTGAACGTAACAATACATCTATTGATAGTAATTCTATCTTTACAGAGAATTCTTTAAATAATGTTTCCTGGAGTTTCACATTAACATTTCCTTTTTATTTGTCAGTCCTATAAATATCTTAATTAAAAAAACTGGTTGAGGGGTATGTTCTAGCACAGCGCTCTTTGGCTGCCTATTTGTAACATTTGACATTTTTGTTTTTCTGTAGGAAAGAAGGTTTATTAATGAAGACAATGTGACAGAATTTCTGGAAAGTGGTTTACGCCCTTCTACCATTCCCTGGTCTACACTAGAGGACCAACCGCTGATTAATGTACTTGAAATGAATGATGAAAGAACCCACATCCGGTTAAATGTAAGAATTTACTATTTTGCCTTGCTGTAATCCATTTGTGCCGTGCAGAATTTCTTCATTAAAACGTGGAAACAATTAGTTTCAGTTGCAAAAAAAATAGTTCAGACATGTTAAGCTTTCTCTGTTGCAGTGTACATAATGGCCACAAGATGGCATCATTCCCTCGAGTCTGGAGCAGATGCATCCATGTGTGGTCTTGGAGGATCTCCGATTCACATTGTCTGGAGCGGGTCTGATGGTCCATGGTGGCCAGGAAGATCCCTCTATTATTTCTCTAGTGCAAAATGGGAATATCAGACAGGATCTGGTTGCTATGAACCACAATTCATAAAAACCAGCACAAAAAATAAAGCTCAGTACTGGCTATTAGTGGTACACATAAATGACAATTCTGGACCAAAACTGCAAAACTGGAATGCACTTGGCAAAAACCCAGAATGGACGTGTTTGTTGTGTGTGTGTGTGTTGTGTTTTTTTTTTTTTTTTTTTTCTAAAAAAAAAACTTTATTTTGACTTTAATATCGTTAATTTTACATGAAGATGAATTTAAAAATATAATCCATTACTGTAAAATAACCTTGCTGCAAGTAATAAACACAAACTGGACAGAAAATAAAATGGTGTGTTTGTGTATCTCTCTCTCGTTCGTTTGCTCTTGTGTTTTTTTTTTTTTTTGCATTGAAGTCAGTAAGGGGCTTTTTCTTTCTTCTTTTTTTTTTTTTTTTTTTTTTTGTTTTGTTTTGTTTTTTGTTTTTCCTCTTTCAGTTAAGAGGAATAACAAGTGCCAGGTCTGCCCACATAGGGGCTTGAATTGTTGAGGTAGGATCCATGTGGATAGTGAACTCCTTAATGATAGCACAGTATGTGTTGTGCACTGAGAAAAGGGGGGCAGGAGCCCCACAGTAAAGAGAAGGATGTCAAATGGAGGGGCAGGGGTGTATGGACTCAGGAACATTAGAGGGGCCAGTTATAAATGCTCAACGCTAGCTGGGGAAGTGAAAGGAAGGCACACACAAGCCAAGGTTGTGTGTGGGTGGTTTTTTTTTTTTTTTGTTTTGTACATCCACATGAAAAAAGCATAGAGCAGCATTACACCTTCAAGCCGACATTTTATTATATTGTAGTTTTACCAATTCTTAGATGTGGTGGCAGAATTTGTTTTTCTTTTTTGGGCTTTATTTTATTTTCATCTGGTAATCTAGCCAGTAAGTCTGCTTTTTCAAAAGAACAAGCTCTCCAGCAGAATGTATCATAAGTGAAAAAACATTTCCCACTTACAGGGGTGCTTACAATGATTTGCTTCTGTTGAGGTAAAGCCCTTTATCTCAAAAGGGAAGAAAAAAGCTGTTTGCTATAAGTAATTAATTATAAAGTATTAGCTGGAGTGTGGCTTCAGTTTGTTAGTGTAGTTAAATCTGCTAGTAGATCTCACTCCTCCTGGATTGACAGTGCTGCTGTCCAAAGGTGCCCCTGTGCTCCTTCAGCTTGAGTGGGGGCACTCTTATACAGGAGGTGCAATATTGGCCAGGGTTGTAGAGCCTAAACACAAAAACGAATGCAGCTGCTACATCTGATTGGTAAGCTGCAATAAATTACGTTTTGTTTTGGGTTTAATACTGCTTCTTAATCCTTTTTGTTAAAATGTAAAACAACAAATCCAATGTGACATGAAGCATCTCTTCTCTCTCACTCTTGTAAATCCACGGCAGTAGCTCACACATAACCTGAACCTGCACTGCCTCAAATGGCATCTCAGTGGTCCATTCAAAGTCTTTATCTGCCCTAAACACCCTTTAACTCGATCTGTTCAGCCAGGTGTAAAGCAATTCCTCTGTGTATTCAGACTGTAAAGGCGTTTGGTTAGCTGTGTTATTAATGTTTCATGACTTCTTGTTTCTCTTGCAGAAACCGGAGCTGGAGCAGGAAAGCTATCTGGCCCACAGGGAGCGATGTGCAGATCTGAGCGACGTGAAGAAGGAGATAAGTTACCAGTCAGATGAGACGGGGCCGTCTGATGCAGAAGACAATCTGCAGGAGCCACAGCCAGGGGTCAATGTGGAGAGCCAAGGCAGGCGGCTACAGTTCCACACAGAGAACCCCGCATACTGTACCTGTCAAGGGCAACTGGAAGACTCCAGTGCAGAAGATGAGGGACTTGTCTTTAAAGAAATCCCGGCCAGGGAACTCGATGAAGATGACATCCCTGATGGAAAAGAACAGGAACCAAGCCCTGTGTTACAGAACTCCCGAACCTAGCCCTAGCCTAAAGGAAGTTGATGCCAAAGATGGCCGTGTTCACGTCATCTCTGATCACAAAACACAATGTGCCTTCAGCTTTGAGAACGCCTTACTCTTTGAATTAGATTAAACGATCGCTGCTAATTTAGTTGTTTTAAAATTAAGGCTGTTTTTGTTTTGGAGAGCAGCCCCACAATGGTATCTGTATCACAGATATGACTACGTCTTACAGCAAATGAGCAGTTCAATACTGTTGCTCATGTTTTCATTTGTTAAAGATTTTTCTTTTATATGTTTTCATTTGGACCATCACTTTTACCCAGCTGAAGCCAAGATCACGTGACATGACTTAGATACAAAGCATGTTGTGCCTCAGTGATGTCACTGCCTCCTTGTTTGTAAAGCGACTCTTGCCAATAAAAAGCAATCTGTAGAAGACTTTTTGTACTTACCAGTCCTGCAGCTGACAATCTTTGCAGTTTTAAAGAGTTAAACTAACCAGGGAAACGTTACATCTCACCCTTTTTTGATGTGTATAATGCCTGTGACCTCTACTGTACCAGCCAGTGCTGTCTCCATTGTCGCACTGCAGCGTCTGACAGGTGGAACCGCAGACTGGTGGTGATGGATGCAGGCATCAAACACATGCAGATGTTGAAAGTTCTCCAACTGCTTTGGCTTTGAAAGAAATTGAAGAGTGGAGGCTTGGGCTGTGGGACAGGCAAGTATATATTGGTGGTGTGAGGATTTTTTTTTTTATTTGGCGACAGTCCTAAAATAAAAAAAATTCAGGCTACAAGATGGTGGCCACCACTGTGTAAGTGTCAGGTCAACTTTATTTATATTTTTTTCCTTTTGCGTGTGCTGTGTCCAATATTTTTTTTTTTTTTTTTTTGGTTTGTTTTTTTGTTGATTTACCTGTTTGAAGAAATGTTTACATAATGGTAATAAAACTAGTTTGTTGCATTGCACAATGAGGTTGTGTATTCTGCTTTTATATAAGACTTTCACGAAGGGCACTTTCTGTTATGGAGTGACTATGTTCTTTCCCAGTCTAGCAATTGCAGTCAGTGTTGTCACCCTATCACATGGGCTTCCAATAGAGCAGCCTTTCTCAACCTTTTCAATGCAGAGGAACCCTTGACATAACTTTCCAGTCTCAGAACCCCAGCTAAAAATGAATTTATCTACAATTCGTCATACATTAGTGCGATAGTCAGAGGTAAGAATGCTCCTTACACTTGTGGTCATTGGGAAGAATGACCCCCTTACAGATAGATAAAGATTATTGGAATCAGTGGAAACTTGCTTGAGGCAAAAATTGCTCAAGGAATCCCTAGCAACCTCCCTGGAGGAACCCTGGTTGAGAAACCCGCAAAAGAGAGACTACAAGTGGTTGTTTCAGGACACATTATGCAGCCATCATCCACGGCGGTCACCATCAGTGCTTTAGCAAATTAAATGTCATTCCGTTAAAGTATATGTCAGCCTCCAGCTTGTAAAACAACACATTCAGCTTAAAATTGAAATGAAGGAAAAACATTTGTGTAGATATATTAAAAAAAAAAATAAAAATGATTCCCTCCCCATGAGTGATCACATTCCCTCTGTTCTCAGCTGCATATGAACTGGGGCAGGAGAAACAGCAGTACACTTGGCTTCCCAGTAAGAGGTTGTGTAGGTAAGGTGTGACAGGACAAGTCTTATTGGTGAATAGCACATTGAAGAGTGCAAAATCTGATGCAGCTCTGCATAGAAACCAATCGGCTTTCAGGTTTTATCACCAAAGCCTAACTGAACAAGCTGAAGTTTTAGAAGCTGCTTGTCTACCATGCTCTGCTGCACCAGATTCTTGAGTGCACCAGTATTAGTAAATCTCTAGCTGTGCTGGGAACTCATTGGGGTAGAACTGACCATGCTGTGCTCTCATGCCTAGTGCGGTCTGTTTTTAATAGGAAAGCAGAGTTACTGGCAGGAACACCAGGGATTTCACACAAAGGAAGCAATAGAGAACAGGATAACTATATAGATAGATATATACCACACACATACACCCTATCATACATGGTACAGCAGGCACATATCAGGAATATGAAATGCTGGATTTACATATTCTTAAAGCTTTACTCCTCCTTAAAACAAAGGGGTTGATTAACTAAAGGCAAAAGAACTGCACTCGGCAAATGCGGTTGCTCCAGAGCTTAGTATATGAGGTGTAGCTTGACTTTGCAAAGAATACCCAATCACGTACAAGGAAAATGAAAAAAAAAAAACAAAAACAGCATTTTTGCTTGTACATGATTGGATGATAGTAAATGAGCAGAAGCTCTGCTGACTTCCAAGCTCTGGAGCAACTGTTTTACCTTGCAAAGTGCACAGTCTAATTTGCCTTTAGTAAATCAACACCAAAAATGTCATAAAGCTCAACACCTGATGAGTCTGATAGAAACGTCTATTCCCCTTCTTGTGCAGCATATACTAGTAGGAGAAATCTATAGTATGTAGACTTGCATCTACAAGTGTATGAGTAGGAGAAATCTATAGTATGTAGACTCTTACATCTCCTACAAGTATGAGTAGGAGAAATCTATAGTATGTAGGACTTGCATCTACAAGTATGAGTAGGAGAAATCTATAGTATGTAGACTTACATCTACAAGTGTATGAGTAGGAGAAATCTATAGTATGTAGACTCTTACATCTCCTACAAGTATATGAGTAGGAGAAATCTATAGTATGTAGACTTGCATCTACAAGTATGAGTAGGAGAAATCTATAGTATGTAGACTTACATCTACAAGTGTATGAGTAGGAGAAATCTATAGTATGTAGACTCTTACATCTCCTACAAGTATGAGTAGGAGAAATCTATAGTATGTAGACTTACATCTACAAGTGTATGAGTAGGAGAAATCTATAGTATGTAGACTTACATCTCCTACAAGTATGAGTAGGGAGAAATCTATAGTATGTAGACTTACATCTACAAGTTTGAGTGGGAGAAATCTATAGTATGTAGACACTTACATCTCCAAGTACGAGTAGGAGAAATCTATATTATGTAGACTTACATCTCCTACAAGTGTGAGTAGGAGAAATCTATAGTATGTAGACTCTTACATCTCCAAGTATGAGTAGGAGAAATTATATTATGTAGACTCTTACATCTCCTACAACGCATCACTCGTGTCAGGACCACTACACACTTTATTATTGCAGACTTGGCTGTCATACTAGAGCCAGACCTATGCACAAATAAAAAATCAGGTGTTTCCATCTGTCAGCTGACACAAGCCCCCTCTCACCCATTTCCGTCTGTTATTCTAGTGCAGAAGAATGCACTTGTCGTATACATAGAGTGCGTACACCAGATGGGAATGGTAGGTTATACACGAGTAGGTCAGAAGGATCTGCATTTAAAAGCACTCTGGTGCTATCAATCTCTGTAAGCGTTTTCTTTAGCATTTATTAGGTCTGTAGACTCACCCAGTCTTATTGATTTTACAGTGAAATTTAAAACCTAAAAGGCCTATCTAAGAGGTGCCCAATCTAAAAGCAACTGTGGGTTAGAAATAAAATGGAAACCATGAAGTAGAGTCCCCTGCAATAAAGAATTGACTACACTCCCATCTGTCCAAAGATCTGATTTTTACATCGGCACCTTCTTCTGGAATCAGGGAGCTGCGGTTTTATAGAAGAAAGTAGAAAATATCTGTTTTGTTCACAATTTTCGTTCTGTTTTATATTCTAGATAAAATGTAGAAAATGCAGAGATAGGATCTTGCAAGACCAGGCTCTTTGTGAACTCCTCTGGCTGCATGTTAGCAGTTCCTCTTTTTGTGGGTGGGGTAGGAACAACAAACTGAAAACGCACTGACTTCACCTTTTTTAGGTTAGATTAACTTTAGCAAGGTCATAGAATGCAGTCCGAGGACTTTGTTCGTATTCTGCTGATTCACTGCAGTGCTGACACTAGAATTATCTGACTCTATGCAGAGAAGACGGAAAATGCATTCAGTTTTCTGGCATTTCCTAAAATAACACTTTTACTTCCTGTAAACCATTTCTACGACAGTTAAATGAGGGAAAGTGGATGTGCTCTTGATGCTTGTGGTCCTAAAGCACAAATCCAGGCAGATTGGGGCAGCAGAGTGGCTAAATGGTTTTATTCCATACCACAGTTACCCAGAGAAAAAAAAAAAAAACTCCGCAAAGCATGCCCAAATTTGGTTCCGCAGGGAAAAAAATTCCTTCCCTGCCCCCCTGGAGGCAATCAAATTTTCCCGGGATCAATTTTTACCTATAAATGTAGTACCTATTTTTGGGTATCTAGGAAAAAATCCAGCTTTTTTTTTAAAGCAACCCCACGAGCTGACCAAACCAACTTTGAGGGGTCTATTACATTTTCCCAAACTCTTACTGTAAAACCCTTTCGTATTTGGAAAATTAAATTTTTTTTCCCCCGCGGGAAAAAAAGTGCCCCCTTTTTCCTCTGTATGACCTCGGGGGAATAAATTACACCGGTTCACTTATGAACCACTGAGTATGTATACTGGAGATCATTCCCCCCTTATTATTATACATGGGAGATCATATCCCCCTTATGTATTATACATGGAGATATATCCCCCCTTTAGTATTTAAGGAGATCAAACCCCCCCCCCTTAAGTTTTTCATGGAGTCAAATTTTCCCCCCCCTTTTGTATTATACATAGAATCATATCCCCCTTATTATTTACATGGGGATCATATCCCCCCTTTTGTATTATACTGGAGACATATCCCCCCTTTTTTTTACATGGAGATCAACCCCCCCCTTTGTATTATACATGGGGATCATATCCCCCCCTTATTTTATCATGGAATAACCCCCTTATGTATTATCATGGAGATCATACCCCCCCCCCCTTATGTATTAACAGGAGACAATCCCCCCCTTTTTGATTTTTAAAATAGAGATCATTCCCCCCTTTTTTATTATACTGGGGATATACCCCCCTTATGAATTTATACATGGGATATTCCCCCCCCCTTATGTTTAACATGGGATATAACCCCCCCTTATTATTATACTGGGGATATATCCCCCCTTTTGTATTAACATGGGGTCAATCCCCCTTTTTGTATATA